GTCCAGGTTTCTTTTCTATAGATGGACTTTTCAATCATGCCTTCGTTTGTTCTTTTTACATTTAGATCCAGGAAACTGAACTCATTTTTATGTTCATATTCCATGGTGAACTTGATATTTGGATGAATCTCATTTAGGCGATCATATAATGCCGATGCGTGATCCATGTCGTTGCAAACAACAAATGTGTCATCAACATATCGGCGATAGTAGGTTGTTCCATTGATAGCAGAACTTAGTCGTGTCTGTTCAAGGTAGCCCATGAAGATATCAGCCAGGATAGGTCCCAGAGGTGAACCCATAGCGACCCCATCAATTTGTCGGTAGAGTTGATTGTTGAATTTGAATTGTATATCTTTTGTGCAGAGCAGCAGTAGTCGCTTCATCTCTGTTTCCGGTAACGGTAGTAGATCCGTTTGTTTACAAATAATATCAATCGTTTCCATCAGTGGTACGTTTGTGAACAAGGAGGTCACGTCATACGATACCATGAGTTTGTCTGATATGTCAATGTTGTCAACTTCCTTGGAGAATTGGTAGCTATCCTTCAGGCTATGGGTTGCAAATTTAATTCGAATTGGCTCTATGGAATCAGCTAACCATCGAGCTAACTTGTGGCATGGTGAGTCAATCATTGACAAGATTGGTCTTAAAGGCACGTTTGCTTTATGGATTTTTGGTAGGCCGTACATAGACGGCAGGCGTCCACCTTTTGACTTCAGTTTATTGTATGTTTCGCTGTTGATTAGTTTCTTCATTAAAAGTTCTTTGAGACATTTATTTACTTTATTTTCAAACGACGTTGTGGCATCTTTTTTGTTGTCTACTTGGAATTTTTCTTTGTCGTTTAGAATTGTCATCATTTTATGAATATAATCGGCTTTGTTCATTATAACAACCCCAGAGCCTTTATCAGGTCTAAATATGACGATTTCATCGTTCTCATATAGTTTCTTCAGAGCTATTCTATGCTCTTCGGTCAGCATCTTCTGCTTCTCCATTGGCGATATGTGGTATTGGTTAGCAATATCAACAAGTTTAGACTTTAGCCATCCTCTTTTATCTTCGTCTAGGGGTTTCAGGTCGTGGAGTTGATGGTATTCTCCAAGGAAGTTGACAACATTGACATATCAGACAAACTCATGGTATCGTATGACGTGACCTCCTTGTTCACAAACGTACCACTGATGGAAACGATTGATATTATTTGTAAACAAACGGATCTACTACGTACAAACAGAGATGAAGCGACTACTGTAAATACACAATCAACTCTACGACAAATTGATGGTGCTAGTCACCTCTGGGACCTATCCTGGCTGATATCTTCATGGGCTACCTTGAACAGACACACTAAGTTCTGCTATCAATGGAACAACCTACTATCGCCGATATGTTGATGACACATTTGTTGTTTGCAACGACATGGATCACGCATCGGCATTATATGATCGCCTAAATGAGATTCATCCAAATATCAAGTTCACCATGGAATATGAACATAAAAATGAGTTCAATTTCCTGGATCTAAATGTAAAAAGAACAAACGAAGGCATGATTGAAAAGTCCATCTATAGAAAAGAAACCTGGACTGGACAATATCTTCACTATAACAGCTTTTGTCCCATAAGCTATAAACGTGGATTAGCGAGGACTTTGTACGACAGAGCCAGGAAGCTATGTTCACCAAACAAGGTCGAAGAAGAACTAGATTTCGTCGAGAAATGCCTGAGGGAAAACGGATACCCTAAAGGATTTATACAGAAGTATAGCAGAGAAAAAGATAAGAAAGAAAAGCATCCAACTGTAGAAAAGAAAAAAGTGTTTATTTGTCTCCCATTCAAAGGAGATGCAGTTTCACAAAAGATTGACAGAAGACTGAAAGGAGCAATAAATAGAAGCTTCCCGGCAGCAAAACTCATAACAGTATACAACACCACTCCTTCCATGATCCACTCAAAACTGGATAAATACCCTGCTGATGTCACCTCCAACTGCGTTTATGAATTTACGTGCACTTGCGGGAGCAAGTACATTGGAAGGACAGAAAGAAGGGCTTCTATCCGGTTTTCTGAACATATTCCAAGAAACCTATGCCTGAAAGGAAGCAAATATTCTCAGAGTGCAATTACCAGACATATTGTTGATACCGGACATCTCGTAGAGATTTCTAAGTCCTTCAAAATATTAAATAGACAAAGGACAGCAAATTTACTACGATTTGCCGAAGCGATCGCAATCAAACGATTTAAACCAGACTTATGCATACAGAAAGAGAGTGTGATTAACCTCTCACTCCCTTGGTAACTGAATTTTGATTTTGATGAGTCATCTAATTCAGTGATCTCAACTCACTGAACAAATCTCAATCTTATAAACTGTAAATGCTTTTGTTTTTTGGAGTTGCCATGTGAACCTACAAGCTAACACTGTTTCTGTTAATCAATTTTTCTGTTTTCTGTCTTACCCCTCCCCCCTCTTTTCAACTCTGAAAGTGTATAAATTGATGATGATAACTTAAACTAAAAATTGTAATGCTTTCATTCTTTTTTGGATGCGTCAATTTTATCTCTTCTCTACTACTAATCAAACATTAAAGTATGTTATTATCATTTATATAACCATTGTAATTTCAGGTAGTCTGCAGCTGATGAGAACCTGTGAAATAGAATGATATCATTTTATACTGCAAATTTCGTCTTCCTTTCTTTATCGAAATTTATCAAGGGAACCAGTTGTATGAATTTCGATATCACTCACCACAACATACCAATTAACAACAAGCAGCTATTGTTTGGGACAGTTACCATAACGATCTCAGTAGTGATGTTTCGCAGCCATAAATGGGAAATGGTCAACTGCGAAGAACGCAGATTTCGTGACTGGTAGCCAGACATCACGCCTGAGGTGAAAAATGTCGTCGAATTCCATGCCAGCTTTTCCTCTCTGTAATGACATTTCGTTAGCTATCAGTCTACTAGGATTGGAGCAAATTCCCGAATAGATGAAATGGTCAGTACTTTGTGCCACTAAAGTATCTTTCTTAAATCCAGGACTCGGCGCAGCTCAACCTCGATGCATCACCGTATGATTGGCGTGGGTGAAACAAATGTTAAACATTTGAAGATTTCTGCTCGATCTGTTCAGAAGACTCTGCATTTCGTCAGCATTTTCTCCTCAACTAGCGTGAGTTGATTTCCCGGTACTCTCTCTATGGACAAGCATTGACACAGCATCTCTCGGTTGACTCATCTGAACGCCTTCAGGTGTAGGTCAAGAACAGTGGAGCGGGTGTTACCGGGAGGGGGTGGAAATTCAATTTACACTGTGCAGTAAGGGGTAAGGTAGGAAAGTGACCAATTCCAATTGAGAAGGAAGACCAGATTTTCACGATTTCACATCAAATTTTTTCATTAGTCAACTACAGGCCATTATTTAAAAGATTTCGAGGTGCTAGTACTAGTGTATTGAAAATTTTTACGCCATACTGTCCGTCCAATGATTAATGGAAACTTGTAAAAGTCCAGTATCTCAGTATCTAGATGAGCGAAGATATACAGGGGTGCGTCGGTAGCACAGTGGTTAGGACTCCCGCCGACCATGCACTTGGTCCGGGGTTCGATTACCTGCCGACACACACCCGATATCTATGGTCGGCCTGTAAAATTTGGGCTACCGATATCCATGCTGAAAATTCCATACTTGTACTAAAAGTACGGTGTGGAATCAAGCTGTAAACAAAAGCAAAAGTAAAGTAAGTGACATAATCAGTCACCATGTGTTCCCAAAGAATCGGAGTACTTTTCTACAGCTCTTCAGAAACTTTACGCAACTTGAAATAAGGAACATGTATCTGGAGAAAATGAGAGGAATTTTATTGAGCGAATATTCATATAAATTCAGCTGAATCTTTGTCCAGTCATAATACAATGACTCCGTGATGTTCACTCATTAGACATCACCTGGTTGGTAGGTCTTAATTAGTATTTATTATTTAATGTGTAAATAGTTAACGCATGATTCCCTGTCAATTAATATTCATCGGAAAACTCAGGTTTTCAGGGAGTGATGAACTCATATGATTACTGCTTAATAGGAGATTTTCAGATTCAGATTTATTTGTTGAGGATAGAAGGCTTGGAACCTATGTTAATCCTTTTCTAGTAAATTCCTGTGGTTGTCCAAACCCTTCTTGAACGAATCAGTTGAGGTTGCAGACACCACTTCTTCTGGGAGTCGGTTCCAAGAGTTTATGACTCGATGTGAGAATCAGTACTCAACAGCAGTATGATTTCTTCTTGGCTTTTGAACTCTCCTGCTATGAGACATATGAGAGAATAGGTCAGGTCCGTTGTCATTATTTAAAATTTTAAACACTGTGATTATATCTCCTCTCTGCCTACGGTATGACAAAGAGAAGAGACTTAAAGTGTCTAGTCTTTCCTCGTATGATAAATTAGTCACGCCGAGAACCATACGTGTTGCCTTCCTTTGAACCCTTTCGAGAATGTGTGAGTCCCCTTTTAGACAAGGACTAGCTACAGTGTTCTGGTCTTGACCTCACCAGAGATGTATGTAAGGAGGTGAACATATCTCTGGTGATTCTAGTGAAGGCTCTGCGAATTGCCCATAAGGATCTGCAACTACGTGCAGATACCGTGCGACAGTGTGCTGTAGTTTTTAAGTAATGGCTGACTATGACACCTGAGTCCAAGTGAGTCTGAACTGATGGAAGTGTTATTCCCTCTAGTTCGTGGGAGCTGGTGCTTGGTTGTCCGGTGCGGATGGTTGCACATTTTGCCACATCGATCGGAAGCATCCATTCTACGGACCACTCTGACAATTTGTTGAGGTCCTCCTCAAAATTTTTAAGTCATCTGCGTATAGGACCATAGGGGAAACAGTTAGCAGAGACAGCTCATTGATATACAAAATAAATAACTAAATAATGTATAATCCTATACACATAATCGTTTTTGTCTTTGAAACTACTTGAGTGTGAGCCATTGAGCATTGAACACATTAATCAGTTTGTTTCTTGGACTAGCGGGAGCACGCACTTTTTCCAAATTCCTTGGCGTGCAAGGTGAGGACTTAAAATACTTTAGTGATCACTAATCCAGATGGGAAGGGTTATTAGAAGTCAGCGTAAAGGTGCTGGGGGCGTATTCAAAGCACACACAAAGCATCGCAAAGGAGCTGCCAGATTGCGGCCAGTTGACTTCGCCGAACGTCATGGATATATAAGAGGTGTCGTCAGGGAAATAATTCACGATCCGGGTAGAGGAGCTCCACTAGCCAGAGTTACTTTTAGGGATGTTTACTCCTACAAACTGATCAAACAAACATTCATTGCTGCGGAAGGCTTACACACCGGTCAGTTTGTGTATTGTGGTAAGAAGGCCAAACTTCAGGTGAGTGTAATGTTGCATGCTAACACTCGATAGATAGGTAATATTCTCCCAATTGGTGCCATGCCTGAAGGTACAGTTGTCTGCAATCTTGAAGAGAAATGTGGTGATCGTGGAAGACTTGCTCGTGCAAGTGGTAACTACGCCACAGTTGTTGCTCATAATCCTGATACGAAGCGAACCAGGGTTAAACTTCCATCAGGAGCAAAGAAAGTTTTGCCTTCTGCATGTCGTGCAATGGTTGGTCTCGTTGCTGGCGGTGGCCGAGTAGATAAACCGATCTTGAAGGCTGGTCGTGCTTATCATAAGTACAAAGCTAAAAGGCATTGTTGGCCTGTAGTTCGGGGTGTTGCCATGAACGTAAGTTTGTTCTTGCATAATTTTTCATGGATTTTGTCTGTTACTTAATGTAGAGGATAAGGTCATACCAACAACTATATTGCTTGCTACGGATAATTCCTCAGCTCTTGCAAATTAGATAAGACAATCAAGCGAACTATTATATGTTTATGTGCATTTAGTTTGTCTACCTTCCGGAATTTTGATTTGATATTGTCTGCTGAGTTGTTTGGCTTGTCCCAGCTTTTCACAACCTGGTATCCGTTAGGGAATAAACAAATATTGCTAAAGGTAAACCAACTATGCCAATTAGATCTTTGTGTTAACGCTAGATGAGTCATACCTTGTCCAACCACATTGTAACTTCAGTTTGAGATAAGTTGTTTTTTTCTCCCTAAGATGACCAACAATATCTCGGAGAATTGTGAACTGGTATACTTCGAGGCTCTTTTTGTTTGAAATCCTGAATTAGGACGTACAACTGTTAGTTCTGGGTGGATACTGAGGGACGTAGCATAATGATAGGTTTCAGATGAAGCATAGTGGGATTTGTATCAATACACTATTAATACTCATGAATTTTGATAAGAGAACAAACTGTGTTCAAGTGAATTAGCGTTTATTCGTTTTTAAGTCCGGAGCGGAGGAATGTTGGAGCTGACAGTGTATTCCACGGGTTAAGATAATAAGATTATTTCCTTAATGTCCCTATATTTTCGTTTATATCTTCGATGTGCTTGTCTGCTTCTCAATGCAGAAAAACTTATCTCACCTACTGGACACTTATTTTTTAACAGCCCGTTGAGCATCCTCATGGTGGTGGTAATCATCAACACATTGGTAAACCATCAACTATCCGGCGTGATGCATCACATGGTCGTAAAGTTGGTCTCATTGCAGCCAGAAGAACTGGACGAATTCGCGGTACTCGTGTAATTACCACAAAATCTGACAAGGAATAAATACTAAATAAATTTCGTCTTATGGATATACTTGTTCTTTCTACTTAATTTGACTGCGTATTCGTTTCAGTGTCTTGTATAATGGTAGAGCCTAGGTAGCGTTCAAACTTAATGGAATGAGTTTGTCTCATCTGGAATGATCAGAAACTATTCCGCTTGTTGCTAATAGATGGAAACGTTAAGTAACGCCTGATTTTGAGTTATCACTTTAAGTAGTCCTGAAATAGACTTAAGGTGTCAGAATTACAGTAAGTCTGCAAAAGCTATCAGTCCACCTAGTCATTCACAAAGAATCTGAGTCTTCAGAGCTTTTGAAGATTCCGAGCTTTCACGAACATTAAACGAAACAAATTCAAGGCTGTCTTATCAAACTTTTTGGAGACCTGCGTGGTCAACTTTTGTTCGCACCACTCCACAAATTGAAGATCGTTTTTCGTGTGTTGATTGTAGTCAACAAGAAGTGGGAGTGCATATGTGAGAAGTTATGCGTTGTGATGGCTTCGTTTCTAGTCGTCCGTTGACGTAACCAATGAAGAAAAACTTGGTGGGATGCTACAAACAGTTAGCGAAGAAGACTGATGAAAACTTTCAAGTCAAAAACAGATGGTCTACCATTACTTTTCCAGTTATCCATCATATAGCTTGAGGGCCATAAACGAGCACCTTCCCCCATTGTTTTCTTCATCGTGCAACTGAGGATGCACAATCCTTCAGTTAGATGCATCTGAATCCTCACCGGGCGATTTTGTACCAAATGTTGCTACCATCAATCAAAATATTGTAGGAGAGCTTCGAATATTGACCGTAATGAGAATGCCTATGTGCATAGCAATGCAGAACCTAATTTTTCTAGTTTTATCGTCGTCTCACGGAATCTAAGCCGTATGAACTTCATTTACGTTTGTAGACTTGTCTCTTCCATATCTTCCTGTAGTCTAATAATGCGCACAAAACCACCTCGTGGTCATGATAAATTTTCCAGTGCCAACATCAGGAGCTTTTAAGATAGTTCATTGTCGAATATTCGTGTCAAATCTGTTATGCTTCGGTGGGTAGTCACCATTTCACACGGGAGACAGAACGCAGTCACCTATGATCAAAGACAGCTAGCTAGCCTTTCCATGTCCTCCACTCTCAGTGGCCAGGTCTCAGCCATAAAGTAGGATGGGTCGGACTGCTGAGTAGTAGCCAGATATCACGTCTATTAAGCCAGAGACGGTGTAAATTGATATATGCGAAGCGAGCCTTCTGTATCCGTGCTGAGATTTTGTCAGTGATCAAGCCGTTGGCGCTGGCTGAAGCAACTTCCCAAATAAGTGAAGTGGTTAACACGTTCTACCACTTCACTTCCTATTTCTAAGCTAGGAGTCAGTGTAGTCCAGACCTGTAGCATCATCTTACATTTAGTGGGAGCGAATCGCCTGCCAAACACTCGCAGATTGGTGCTCTAGGTGTTCATAAGACTGGATTTTGTCAGAGTCTTCACCTAGAAGGACTATATCATCTGTATATTCAAAGTCAACAAGATTATTCCCTGGTAACAAGTCAATCCGTGAGTCGCTGAAGTAAGTTAGGGTTTATTCCATTAGTACATCTATGATTAAATTGTATAGAAATGGGATAATGGGCATCCCTGACGGACACCACTAGTTGTCACCACTTCAGATGACAACTCGCCCTCACTTGGCTGACTGCATGAGTTCGAGTAGAGTGAGTGCCTTGATCAATGCAATGTATTTTCTCGGAATTCCCCTTACAGCCAAACATCGCCATAGTACCTCTCGATCGAAAGGACAAGAAATATAACGATTGTTGGACTCCGGTAAGTATGCCACCTATGTTCCAGAATCTGTCGAAGGGTGAAGATATGATCAATACACCCTCTTCCCAGTCTAAAGTTTGTATGGTTCTCTCGTGTTTGTGCCTCCCGAGCACCGCTTAGTCTACACAGTATTATTGAGCCTAGAACTTTAGATGCCGTATTGGTCAAGCACATCGCCCTGTGATTATCACTGGAAGACTTGTCTCCCTTCTTGTATACCGGGATAATCGATGACTTACACCAACTCGACGGGACTTCCTCTGATTTCCAGATGCTGCCTAGTACTTTAGTTAACGCAGACAGTAAACTATCTGCACCGTACTCAAATACATCTGGAGTCATTCCATCAGGTCCTGCTGCTTTGCCTCGTTTCAGAATAGTGACAGCCATAGTAACCTCAGTTAGGGACGCTGGACCTATGTCCATATCCCATTCAGGGAGGTGTTGGATGTTCGGTAAGTTGAGCGTGGCTGTAGGCCAATTGAATTGCTCCTCAAAGTGTTCTTTCCAACGTTCTAGTCGTCTGTCCCGGAAGCTAATTATGGAGCCATTTTTCTGAGAGATTGTTTCACTTATCGTTTGCCTTTCACCACCTGTTTCCCTGATAAGCCTAAATAGTCTGGTATTAGAAATCGCTGATGCCTTTTCCACCTATTTCGCTTTTGTTGCCCGCCACTGTTCACGGTCGTTTCGAAGGCTTCTTGTTAGTTTGTGTTTGAGTAGCTTTCACTCGTCATCATAATCGGAGCTCGCCGGAAATCTGAGCTCCACAATGGAGTTGTACTCTACCACAGTGCATAAGTTGTATTCTTATGTCAGTTTGATTGATTTTCCGGATTAGGTTAGCTATCCCCGTGCGCAAGGGGCCCTCTTTTCCTAGTCTTACGACTGACTGAAAAACTAGCGAGCCATTAAACTAGGAGGCGAGATTATTTATCCTTAGATTGTCATCTATCTTTGTTTCGATTCTCATTTTAATTTGTTAATCTCGAGTTTGTACGATTTCTGATGAAAGATAAGATAAACGCTGTGCTTGTATACTTCATAATCATGGTTGTTTCTAAAATCAAAAATCAATCAATTCTAAAATTCCTCATTAATAGAAGGTGGAATCGGGATCAACGATGAATTATCCTTCTTCATAGTAGTCATGATCGGTCAGATTTATTATCCAAGTACGGTCTACTAGTGTAGATTTTACTTGTTCTTGTGCTCCGTTTATCCTATTGATCTCACATTCAACTTATTTGACCTGCTTTATCCTCACAATTATTGTAGGATATTAGATAAACTCACTTTTATTTTCTATGTGGAGATTGTCTACTTGAATTGCCTTATTTCATTGCAAAGTTTTACGCTGATTAGACAAACTGCATTATTTTATTTAATGGGCTCCACAAGATTCTTTAACCGACATAATTCGTTTATAGGTGACTTTGTGGCTTTGGATGTTACTCCTACTCCTGCATTGTTAAGAATCCTTTGTGAGGTTTCAGAGGTCGCCTCTTTGTTTGGCAGCACTACCGATGCTTTTTTATTGCTAATTCTTGGTGTCATCTTATTTTATATGCTTGTCACTAATGATTACTTCTGGTATAATTCCTGAATAATTTACCAGCGTAATTGCAAAGTGCTATTGTTTCTCATATGTTTTACTGCGTGCTGTAGATTTTCTTAGGTAAAACTAAGTTACTTCACCCTATTAAACATCTCCATAATCCTATTTCAACTGATATGAATTAGGATTAACTGAAACCTTAATATCAGTTTGAATGTGTAGGTTTTTGTGAACACTGGTGTTAGCTTGCCATTTGAGTTCTTGAAGATCCAAACCACCATCGGAGGCTCATTAATAAGTCGAATTGGGTATACTGTTAAGTTAGACTGCACAGTATTGGAAATAGGATATAAATAGATGCAAACACCCGACCCGAGCTTATCAGTGGTGCACCCAGTTTGACTGAGCTCAGAGAGCCGAATCAATTGAAAACACCCAGTTTTTGGTTAGCTACAACGGTGAACTGGTAACACAACAAATGGAATTTTCAAATAAATTCTCAATTTGCACAGTTCGAGGGGTATCATGCTTCATGTACTTTTGCTTACTGTCTCACTTATGCTATGAAGCAGATCATATTGTGATCTGAATAATTTTGCTTTTCGAAGGCAACTGTAGTGAAGTTTTACGACAAACTGTGTAAATTGTAAATTTGATTTGGTGCATTACTAGGTTTATCGGACATGGTAGCTCAGCGGTAAATGCAGTTCAATTCACTTGTGAGTTGAATAGCCACGCATGGGAACTTCAAATGATGGTTGGCATCATAAAAGGACAAAATGACAGCCTTAAAATATAATGTAATACAGTGGAGGGAAAGATCGACAAATAAACCTGCATTAATTGAATCAACTAAGAACACGTGCAGCAGATATGATTTAGAATCTGTCGCGTACATCAAAGAACTGGAGCTATAAAAATCAAGTTTCGATTATGAATACGAACAATAAATATGGTTCGAAATGTCATCCTCGACTCCACTGTGGGATATATCCAATATACAAGTCAGCGTGCGTCTTAGTAAAGACACTATGTACCTTCCACTAGTGTTTAAGCTGCGAGATGCCACTACGCGACAGTTCGCTGTGGATTTTAAGTCATAACTTACATTGACACTTATATCCAAATTCACCTTAATTGATGCATGTGGTATGCGCTGGAACAGGCTGATGCTGATGCGATTGCTTGCACACTGCGTTGTGTCGATGGGAAGCCTACACTGTTTTGACCAACATAATAGGTCATTGATTTATGTGTCCGAACCATTTTCACTTTTAGTAGTTTGGAAAAGTTTGGGCATTATTGTTATTATTACTATTATTATTATTATTGTTCACTTGGGTTCCTAGTGGAACATAGGGCTTCAACTGCACGTCTCCACTTGCTTCTGTCTTCTGCTGTACTTTTCACCTGCATCCATGTTATTCCGTAGTATTTCAGCTCTTCTTCACACGATCTCCTCCGTCTCATTCTTGGACGTCCTACTCGCCGCTTCACTTTCGGGTTCCACTCGAGAGTTGGCCTGACGCGCAATGTCACCCAGTGGCCTCCTCAGCGAGTGTCCAATCCATCTCCACTTTCTCCTGCATATTTGTTGGGCGGTTGGTTCTTGTTTTTTTTTGTTCCCATAGTTTCTTGTTGGTGAT